ATATATATATATTTGTTGCTATAAATTTCCATCTAACTACTGCTTTCAACACATCTCAAAGTTTTGAAAAGATGCATTTTAATTTGTACTTAGTTCAAAGTACATGCATTTTTAAAAGTTTTTCTTAAGACTTTTTATCACTCTTTTATTATTTAGGAGTGGTTACAATTTGATAAGATATTTTTTTCTATCCTGTAAAACCATCTATCTTTCTGACTGTCCCACATGTACTATAGAAGTATGTGTATTCTGCTGTTGTTTGATGGAATCTTCTGTAAATATCACTTAGATGAAATGAATTGTAAATGTTGTCCATTTGGCCTGTATCCTTGCTGATTTTCTGCTTGCTTGAACTATCAACTACTGTGAGATGTATTAAAGCCTGCCTCTATGATAATGATTTATATGTATTTTTTGTAGTTTTACGTGTTTTGATGAATGTATCTTGATGCTCTATTAGTTGCATACCTGTTTACATTTGCTATGCCTTCCTGGAAAAGTGACAGATTTTTGTCCCTGATATTTTGCGTTGTTTTGAAAGTGGCTTTGTCTGCAATTGATATAGATTTTCCAGTTTTCTTTTTATTAGTATTTAAATGGGCTATCTTTCCCTTTGCTTTTTACTACATCTTTATTTATTAGTTTTTAAACTGAAGCATAATTATGCATATTTATGGAGTATATCATGACATTTCTATATGTTCATACACTGAAAAACTGACAAATCTATCCAAAACTTTATCATCTTTTCATGTTGGGAACATTGAAAAATCTTCATTACTAATTTTTTTAAAGTATACAATTAATTGTTTACAACCTCAGATACCCTACCTTGATACAGAATATTAGGTTATTCTTTCTATATATTTGCACCCTTAAACCCTTAAATATCTTTTATGTCTCTCCTTTTTTCCTACTTCCCAGCCTCTGATAAACCCTGTCCTATTCTCTACTTCTTTGAATATTTATTTTTTGAGGTGGATACCTTCTAGTTTGTCTTGGACTTTTCTGTTCATTTACTTTGACTATTTGTTCTTAATTATTGTGTTCCTTCCTCACTTTGCTCAGTAAAATAATGTCACTAACTAATGCCCATATTCTAATCTGAAAACTTGTAAATATGTTACATTTCATAATAGAAGGGCTTCGTAGATGTGATTAGAGTTCAGATAAAGTGATTGTTCTGGATTTTCTATTTCTGGTCCTATCTAACTCACATGAGTTCCTAATAATGGAAAAAGAAGACAGAGTAGTAGGTCAATGTGATGAAAAGAAAAGATAAATTAATCTACAATTGCTGTCTTTCTCAGGGAAAGAAGGGTCTCATGAATCAAGCAATGGGACCACATCTAATAAGCGGAAAGACAAGGAAACAAATCTCATCAAACATTTGCAGAAAGGAATACACTTTGAATCCATTTTGACTTTAGCTCATGGTGACTGATTCAGAATTCTTACCTGTAGCTCTTTGTGTTGATTTGTTGATCCCTCTAATTTTGTTCTAATTTGTTATGACAGCAATAGAAAACACACAAACTTATAATTCAAGATAGAAATCTGCATAATTCTTTTCAGTATGCATAGTACTTACACACCAACCTCACCTTCACTTTTATTTCTTGTGTACTGATACACCCTCATTATCATTTTAATGAGTATTTACTGTATACATATAAGTCATTTTATTTAAAGAATAGTTAGTGTGTCTGTATTGGCTATTACTCTTCACCAACCCCATCCCAAACTCAACTAAAATATTTTTCTAAGTATTTTTAAAAAGATATTTATATGCTACCTAGAAGAGTGATAAAAATAGTTAAGAAAGAAGTCAATTTCATGAAAAAGGCCACATGCAGCTGTTAGACAGTCATAGCCTGTATTCTGCATTACTAAACACCCCAAACCTTCTTTTCAAGGAGAAAAATATCCATCTAAGAAAATATTTGTGAGGCTAAAAATAGAAAAGTATACATATTTTTTTCCACTGAGTAGGTGTTTAGATATTAGACATGATCAAAATTTCATTTTCCTAATAAAAATAGAACAAGGAAGGTAATTATGGAGATGGATTTTTAATTTCTGTGGCTCTGCTTCACGATAGCACTGGGAGACAAGAAGAAGCTTTATTTTCTTGAGCGATTACATACAAATCTGGCAATTCCTAGGGGTCAAAAATCCTTTCCATTAGATGATCTCATGTTCAATCCAATTATACGTAAGTAAATGTGACACTGCATACAACGTTCATTTTCATGGTCTGTAAGTCCACAGTTAAATTGTTTTTCTTTCATTTAACTTGTGCTCATTACCTAATTGGACATGCATTACAGTGTTTCAAAATACAATCTAGCTGACAAGATCAGACAGTTTGTATGATCATTTTAATTTTAATGTGTTTTTAGACTGCTGAGCATGTGACATTTTACAAATGTAGATGTTTTCACAGTACACTGAAAAAATTGTTTTTTAAAATTAATTTGAGTGTCATGAGCATTTAAAATAATAGAAATAATTGTTATAACTTTTTGACAAGGAGATGAACAGGAAAGACCTCTAAGATAGTTTAAAAAGACTTATGTAAAGAAAATGTATATCTATGTATAGATATATATTTGCAAACTATAAGCATATAGAATTACATATGATTCTTTTTTATGTGTCAAAAGATTTTACACAGAGCCAGGAACTTATCTCAGTGGCACCATACCTGCCTTGCAAGAGCAAGGTCTTGAGTTTGATCCTTGGTACCAAAAGAAATCAAGTTTTATACATAATGTATCTAAGATATGTGAAATATATACAGCATAATTATTATGCTAAAGATATTAAAGCAATGTACTCATAGTTTGCCTGCCAAATCATAAATATACATATATTTTTAATTTACTTTAAATATTGTTGTATATTGAAAAAAATTTACATTGACCTACCATCCAGTGGGCCAGACTGGAATATAATTTTCTGTAATTTTTTTCTATGTGACATGTAAAGAAAAACAGTCCTTCGTGAATATTTATAATCCAACCAATCTTAAAAGATAAAGATTGTGTCTTCCCAAACATCAAATAATCTTATGAAAAAGTGTTCAACGTCACTGGTTCTTCTGTTGAACCAAATAAAAACAATGCTGAGATTCCACTTCACCCCAGAAAGAATGGCTGCTATGAAGAAATCAACCAATAACAAATGCTGGACGGGTTGTGGGATAAAAGAAACCCCTGTCTGTTGTTGGTGGGAGTTTAGTCTGGTGCAATCCGTATGGAGATAACTAAACATTGGGTTTAGAGGTCCCATTTGACCCAGCTGTTCCCCTGCTGGGGATCTTTCCAAAAGAATTAAAAGAATCTTACCACAGCACAGCGATATATGTCCACCCGTGTTCATAGAGGTACTGTTTGCAATAGCTAAAACTCAGAAACAGCCCAATTTCCCATCAAATGGAGTCTGGATAAAGATTTATTTATTTATTTTTTTAATAAAATGGAGTACTAGTCAGCTGGAAAGAGCTAGAAACCAGAGACATTTGTAGCAAAATGAATGCACATCGAGTCCATACTCTTAGATGAAATAGAAGGACACACATGAAAATACCGAATAGTTTCTGGTATGAGAAACTGAAAGTGTAAATACGGATCAAAATGTATAATAGATAATGTGAAATAGGTAGCAAAGGTCCAAAGGGAGGGGGAAGGGAAAGGAATAAATAGGAGAAAAGGAAAAAACCCGAAACAAAGTCTATAAATAGGGAGGATTGCAGGGGTTACAGGAAGGTCAGGGAAATGGGAAAACAATAAGAACCAAGATATGTCATGTAAAGGTAAAAATTCCTAATGATGAATATCACCACATTATATACCTCAAATGTACCAGTAAACTTAGTTTTAAAAATTGACAGAAAAATAATTGTGTCTTCTTCTAGAACAATTAGAATGTTTGTTTACCATCCATTTTAATAAATCCTTTCGTCTCCAGAGAAAATTTTGTTATGTTTTATCATACCTCGTTATAAAATATTTGGGCTCTCAGGCCTGAAGTTCTTCTGTAACAACTCATTACATATTTCGGAGTCCTCTGCCCCTGATTGTCTTGCCTTATATAAATTTGGGTATGGAGAATTTGAGCAAACGATGTTGATGCTGACTCTGTCTCTTACTGTGTACAGCAAACTGGTCTTTGACTCTGACCCAGAAATCTCATGCTTTCTACTGGAGCCCATAAATCTTTGAACCATAGTTGTTGACAGAAAGAAATTTGTTTTGACAGAAAGAAATATTAATGTGTATTATAAAATAATTTCATTATGAAACCTAAATCAATTATATGAATGCTTATTTTCAAGAAGTTTAGAAACATGATTTTCACACTGTCACTCACGTGGTTTAGTGCAGTAGTATTAGTACTGAT